GCGTGAATTGTTAGGGGTCAACGACAGAAGTTGGACGTGATTCTTCAGAAAGTCAAATCATCGGAGCGGCGGAGGATCGCCGGCAGAACGGAGCTTGCCGATCCAATAAGAATTCTTCCCCAGATGCAATTTTGTCCTTCGGAGGTCCTGAAGGTTCCGGGCGGGCCGTGTTTGTTTGCGGGATGTGGGCGAGGCGGATGAAGTCCTCTTCGGAGGGGGGAGGAAGGGGGAGGGCGAGAAAGGGACGGGGAGGGGGGGGAGGGGAGGGAAAGGGGCGGGGAGGGGAGAGGGAGGGAGAAGGGGCGGGGAAGGGAGGGTGGAGGGAATGGAAAGAGGGGAGGGAAAGGGGTAGCTAGGAGATGAAGAGATGAGGAGGGGAAGGAAGGGAAAGAGGGCAGGAAAAAGGCGGGGAGGGGGAAAGGGAAAGGGAAGATCGGGGAGAAAGGGGAGAAGGAGAGGAAAGAGAGGGCTCGGCGGGGGAGATGCGATGTAGCTGTGTGAATTGGGTGCGAGGAAGGAGTGGAGAAGTTGAAGTAGGAAAAAAGGAAAGGAGGAAAGAAGGCGAAGGAGGGAAAACGAGAACGAGGTTAAGGGTGATAAATAAGTTCGAGGAAGGGGTGAAGAGGAGAGAAGGTGGGGGGAGGAGAAAATGGTGTGAAAGGGATAAGTGAAGAGGAAAACATAATATGCGGTTACGAAAGAGGGAAGGAGATGGGTAGAGAAAGAGGCAGAGGAATGAAAGGAGTAATAACTAGGCCTAAACTGAGACAAGAAAATAAAGCAGGAAAAAGTGAGACACAAACATAGATACAGACATAGACATGACATAGATTTAGACATAGACATAGACATTGATATAGATACAGATAAAGACAGACAGATAGACAGACAGACAGATAACGACAGGGAGACGGGGAGAAGCAGCCTCAGATAGATTTGGAGGAACGGGAGAGAGAGAGCGGCGCAATAGGGAAATTCCCCCATCCCTCTCCTTCCTTCTCCTTCTCTCCCGCAGTCAGCACAGGATATGAGGACGTTGGCTGAAAGGATATGGAGTCGGAATAGCAGGATATTTGACCCATCACAATTGCTCTATCTCCGCCCCTGCTCGATACACGGCGGTCGTGTGCGTGCGTTTTTTTTTTTTTTTTTTTTTTTTTTTTTTTTTTTTGTAGTATGGGATAGGGCTTGTGTGTGTGTGTGATATGTAAAGGCTTTCATGAAGACTTAATATTCGGAGATCACTATTTATTGTGTGGATGTTCTGTGATCTGAAATCATGAGCTTAAAAAGAATAATAAAAAAATAAAAAAACGAACGAAACAAATAATACAAATTATAGAACAGGGAGGTAAGAGATGGAAGAATAGGAGATGCCGAATAGAAATAAAAGGAAAGAGAAGCGGAGGGGGAAGGCCTGAAGCATGAACACAAAGGAAAAGATAACGAAGAGGAGAGTCGGCGATCGCAGAGGAACGGAAACAGAGGGGGAAGTGGAATGAGAAAATAAACAAAATGAGAGACACTGGGATTACGGAGAAATAAGAGAGGATCATGCAGGGAATGAAGGAAGGTGCAGGGGATAGAAGACGAGGGAGGAGAAGGAAATGGGAAAGAAAGAACCAGAGTTGTATTACGAGGAAGACGGAAGTGGCGGTGATAACAGTGGGTAAAACGTCGTAATGCTAAGGATAATTCTGGTAACGGTGATAATGGTAGAATATCATTGTTGGTGTTACTATTATTAGATTATTATTTCCTTCGCCTTCTTCTTTCTCCTCCCCCTGTCCACATCCCCCTTTCCCTCTCC